AGAACAACTACTTGAATCCAGCAAACATTCTCTCTCCTAAGCAAACTACATGTGGAGCTACAATGTAAGCAGAAAGTTGGTTGGAGGGCATAAATTCAGAGTAAGTAGACTTGGCTATATGATTAGAGTATGTTACTCTGTATCACAGAGACAAACCACTACCCATGTTGCAGATGTGGAATCTTTGGGCCAGGCCATTGTTGTCTTCCCAAAGTTATGCTTGGGTGGTGTTTGCCTCTGTGACTTTCATTCTCCCAGGTTCTGCTGGCTGAATAATCTCTCTTCTGGTTTCAACTCCTATTTTAGCTTATAAATCAAGTCTTGTCCTGGGAACCATTCTTTCATCTTAAAACTTAAGATTTTTTTTTTTAATTTTTTTTTCAACGTTTATTTATTTTTGGGACAGAGAGAGACAGAGCATGAACGGGCGAGGGGCAGAGAGAGAGGGAGACACAGAATCGGAAACAGGCTCCAGGCTCTGAGCCATCAGCCCAGAGCCCGATGCGGGGCTCGAACTCACGGACCGCGAGATCGTGACCTGGCTGAAGTCGGACGCTTAACCGACTGCGCCACCCAGGCGCCCCTTGAAACTTAAGATCTTTGATACCTTAGCTCTGAACTACTGTCACTTACCTTTATAGCCTATTGTTCAGGGGCAGTTTTATTTCCAAGTTGCAGTATTTAGCTTGGGGAAGACGACCATGGATGATTCACTTTTTGTCCCTTGGCCTATCACAGTTTTATATCAGAAATTGAAGGACAATGAGGTGATTTTTATCTTCTAGAAAATCCTGAAAGCCCATTCACTTAGAGGCATACAATTAGCAGAATACAGCTGTCCTTGCTGCAATTTGACATAGCCGTGCAGCCGCCAGATAAAATGCATGCATGTCCCAAGGAATATTTGGGATGTGCATGCACAAAAAAAACCCACAAAAAAAACAAAAAACTGTTCATCGTTAATCTGAAGCTAAAGTTTAACTAGGCACCCTGTACTTTTATTTGCGAGTAAATACATAGAAGCCTTGGGAAACTCAGAAAAACAGGCTGTCTAAATTACTTTGGCAGAGAGGAGTGGGGGAAAAAAAAAAAAAAAAAAAAAAAAAAAAGCCAGATATTAAGAGCCTTAAACGGGAGTCATCAAATGTTGTCTCAGAGGCAAGGAGAAAATCAGCCGAGACTGAAGTATCAGTACTTCGAGAAAGGGAGCATCACAGTCAAAGGGAGGACAGAAGGAAAACTTTATTTCTTCCTAGTTTGTAATTGGAATGTCTACTCAGGCTGTCTGCTTGTTAAAACCAACGAAAGCAGAGTCCCCAAGGCAGCGACTCCATTTTGTGGTCCGGACGAGGGGGTGGGGCGACCTGTCTAAGCCACGCCCCGGGTACCGCGCAGACACCGGAGCCAGGTAACCAAGGGAACCCCAGGGAAGGCGTTTCCGGGAGAGGCCGGATCCGGAAGTAAAGGGTCCGCTCCGTCCAGCGGCCGAGCCCCGCCGCCTGTCCTTCCACCGGGCGGGGCCGCGAGGGATGACGTGTCTGAACTCTGGAGGCGGAAGCCGGCAGGGGGTCGCCGGGGTAGAAGTAGGTGAGGTGCAGCCAGCTGGCCTTGCGCGTGCGCCGTCCGCGCTCTGGTCAGACAGGTTTGAGACTGGAGTCCGGAGGCCAGTTATTCAGGAAGGCTCCACTTCTCCGGGTTTTTGGTAATGCTGAGTTCCGGGGGTTAAAGAGGCGGCGCGGTTTGGAGGAAAGAAGGTTGGGGACCTCCTTGAACCCCCGGACCACTGCGGCCTCAGCCTCGATTGACTGCAGCCCTCATTCCCCTTTCTTAGCTCTGCAAAAGGTTAAATGCATCTGGAAAATCTGAGGTTTATTTCAGCGCTGAAAGCCTGCGATTCCAAATTCAGATTTAAAATTTCTTTTGTCCGGCCAGTCATGTAGTGTTTTCCACTTACTTGCTCCTTGTCTCCTTTACATGCCACACGCTCTTCTAGGATGTAGAGACAAAGCCCCAACTCCCATGGAATTTACATGTAAATGGGGAGTGAGACAGTAAACATAAACACGTCAATTCCAGATAGTGACAAGAAGCATAGGGTGCTGGGGTTAAGCAGAAGGATTGAGGGATTTAAAATTTTTATAAGATAGCTCTTGACAAGAGTGGAAGCTGAGACACAAATTGCAGTAAGTAGTCCAGGGGATCTAAGATTTTGGCTTGGACTGGGGTGTGGCTGTGGACATGCAAAGGATTTAGCCTAGTTCAGCGCCTAGCAAGCAGAACTTGGACTGTATGTTGAGAGTGAGGGAATGAGACATTTAGGTTATCTCCCAGGTTTGGTTCCTTGAGCAAGGGGCAGCAGTACCATTTCCTGAGACAGGGAAAACTGGAAGAAGAAAGGTGGGGGAGGGGGACGGGCAGTGAGATAGTGACGGTCAAGAAAAGTAAAAGGTAGTGAATAAATGTTACTTTCCATTCCCTCTCCTTTCTAAATGGAGAACATCTGTTTCCTCTTACATTGGAAATCTCCGTAATGCCAAGTATAGAATATAATAAACACCATTCCCTAGCTCAAAGTAGATGTTCAACAAATTTGTTGATTGATTTGCTGGAGGAAGAGGGTGCAGAGGAATAATGGCCACTGTTTAGGTCCCTGCTAGCGTGGCTTTTGTTATAAAAATGGCTGCCATTTTTCTGTGCCAAGCAGTGTGCTCAACTTTTAACATACATTTTTTTTTTCACTTAATTTTCAAAAAAACCTTAAGAAGATGGACATTCTTTTCTCCCTGCTTTCCAGTTCTACTACCTGGGACTTGATTGACTTGCTGAAGGTCACATTAACTAGGTAGTAGTATGCCCGCTGGAGTTCTTAGTGCAAGCTGTCTTTGCAAACAAGAATTTTATCTTTCCTTGTTCTGGTTACTGCACAGTACAGAACAGTGTTTCTTAGCCTTTTTGTAGAGTCGTAGATCCCTTTGAAAATTTAATGAAGTCGTAAACTTTACAGGGAGGAAACGTGCCAACAGTCACAAGAATTTGAATACAATTGCAAGGGGCTCCACACTTCTGAATTGCCCATGTAGCAAACTTGCCCATTCTTGAGCTGGAGATACTACCGGTTTGGATTCCTTGCTATATAGTCTAAGTTGATGCACTCTTACAAAGTATTTTCTTTTTCTTTTTTTTTTTT